TATCAGGAGTAGATAATAGAGATCTAGAGATCTAGAGATAATAGAGATCTCTATTATCTACTCCTGATATAATGTATTCATTTACTTTTGATGCTAGGGGAAGAGTGTTTAATCACAACAAATGCATTTCAAAAAGTAACAAAACAATATTTAATCTGCATAATTCACATGCACTCACTGCCACTCATATAGTCACACCTATTTCTAGGGGTCATTCAAGAAAAAGGCCAAGTGTCTTTTATAGACAAGCACACATTCTACAAAGATATCTGCTAGTAGAGATTTGAGACACTAATATAAGAAAAAGATTTGATATTCTCGACAATCGCGAACTCTAAAGATTCATTAAATACTTGCCAGAGAATTTAATTATTAATTAGAATCAATAAATCCAAACATCAAATAGGACAGCAAACGTATTTTGCATTCTGTAATTCAGGAGCACCCCCCTGCACACACGCGATACTAAAACACATCCGAAGATGATTGCATGCAGCAAACACGGTTCTACAGTAAGGGTAGGGCTCAGATTTCACCATGGCACAGACAGCAACGCTGAGAGGGTCTATGTCCCCCAGGGTACTATCGGAGGGTACCCTGGGTACGGTTCGATATATCGGAACGTACCCTGGAACTATCTAATATGCCGGACCGTACCTCGCCTACTCCACTAACGAGTCTAGGGAGTCGCCTACGCATACTCTCTAACCCTAACCCTTCCCTTAACCATAACCATATCAGATAGTTACCAGGGTACGTTCCTATACATCGAACCATACCCAGGGCACCCTCCGATAGTACCCTGGGGGACATAGACCCTCTCAGCAACAGCAACGACAGCCTCACTTCCCGTGACACTTCCAAAGTGTGGCTAACACCTAAGGCATTAAACGCCTCCTTCCCTACCCTACCTGGCTTGCATCCAATCCCTCTTTATGCCACATGAAGCATCAATTAAAAGTAAGTGGCCATGATAAACCTTCGAGGAAAATGTTTGCTGTGCTATCCTAAAATTCTTCAATAAACTGAATGCATTGCTTTCCCTGCTACAAATTTCATTCGCTTTAAATTTAAACCGCAGTGAGGGAGGGAGCCACTAGTCACTACGTATCAGTATACCCACCTCTGTCACGTGCTGGATCTCCATGGGAACAACATGCCTCTGTCTGTCGGTCGCGGCGTGGTAGGGAGTCGACGTGAATGGCTGCATGTGGGATCCCGCGGCGGGCGTGCCACCGGGTCGGAGCGGGGTGGACGGATCAAGATGCATACCTGCACACACCGGGCAGCGTCGGATGCGAGACCGAAACACGTACCAGGGATATTGTGATCGTTTGGCACAGAAAGATACAGTCATGAAGGCTAACCCAATACGAAATTATTGTGTTCGTTCTCGCAAATAGTGTTCGTTTTAGACAAGTGAATGTTCGGTAGATGTGTCTGCTAACATAGGTTTGACACACTACAGCAGTATATCGGTTACCTATCACACCATGCATGTGATATGGTGTACCTATCATGGTGGGAAACAACAAATGCGCGCACACCCACCGAGACTGTTCGATAAAGAGACCCAGTAAATGCATCAGCATAACTTAAACGGATACGTTACTCTAGGTTCTTTGGATATTTTCAGTTAAAATTACGCGACATAAAGCTAACACATATATGCTACATAGGGTGAAGTATCCTTTCTAAGTACATGCATCTATACCTGGGTGCCGGACCGGCGAGCGTGGTGGCAGAGCAAATGATACGGCCGACTGAGACATGTCTAGTTCAGGTGGTATCAGACGTCTGTCACTTGCAATACGACTCCTGTACAACAATGATGTTATCATAATGCATTATTGTATAATGTATTCATCAGGAGTGAATAATAGAGAATATTATATATAT